AATTTGCAGATTATCTAAGTAATTGAATAAATTAAACAATTTTCAAAACCTTAACGCGAATCATTTTAGTTTATCTGCATATTATACTTAAATAATCTGCAGAATAACTGATTCTTACACTTTAGTATTAACACATATGTATATATATGCATGTATATATGTATATATATGATTGGATTGTATTAAAAATAATGTATTTCGAGCTCTATGATTAAGCTGCTATCGCATACAAAAATAGAGAGAAGTTTGCTTTTGCATAATTTGAATTTTATAAAATAATAAAACATACCTGAAAGTATAGAATGATGGTCCATATTAAGCCTAACACTACTGGAGGCCGTCCATCGACTAAATCGGACGAATTTATGTTCACTAACTTAATCTGCACATACAGAAAAAAAATATAATAATAATATATTATTACTTACTTAATATTAGAAATGATTATTATTAATATTCTATACACGAGACTATTAATAACCAACCTTTTTACTTTGTAAAAATTGTAATGCAGTATTCGCATTGCTAAGAAAATGAGGCCTCTTCAGGTTACGGCCTTTTTCCACCGGCTAAAAAAAGAAAATCAGACGAATTATTCGTTAGATAATAATTAATTATGATTTTGGATATAATAATAATAATAATATTATTAATACTCACCAATTTTTCACCCGACAAAACTTCCAATAAAGCGAGCAAACGTGTACCATCTTTCAAATCTTCAATTAAATCGTCCACTCGGAGAGGCGGAATTCGCTATAGTTAAATATAATTAATATAATAATAATAATAGTATATTAAATGAAAGAATACATTTATTATATTATTATGATATTATTCCAAAAAGAAATTATACTTCTGTAGCGTATCAAAACGAATATAACCTCAAAAATAATTTCAATTTTCCCGCGCATAATATCGACAACTTCGTGGTGTCGATTTTTCGGTCGCATCTAACTTCACTTTCCCAAAACCCGCCAAAAGAAGTATAACTTCAAAAACAAAAGGAACAAAAAAGTGTGATCAATATTTTATTTATGGAAATGAAAAAGAAACTTAAAAAAGAAAAAAAAATTAGCGAGTAACAACGTCAGTTATCGAAGTAACTTTTATTATAAAACTTAATCTACAGTTTTAAAACACGAACTTCGAACTCATCAGAGTTTAATTTTATAGGGAATTACTACTATTCAGCATAAATATAGTAAAGTGGTATCATGCACACGCGTATCATAACCGACAGGTTAAGTTTTTGAAATATCCGAGTGAAAAGTGGCAAACAAGTGAGAAGAAAACTTTTAAAGGGTTATCCAAAATTGAACAAAACACAAAAGAGAAAAAAAGAAAGAAGTTTCTTTTTCATTATCATCTCTCCATGTTAGAAAATTTAAAGGAATTTTAATAAAATTTGATTAAATAAAAATATTCCTTTTACGATACGTTAAAACTTTTTTTTTCTTTCAAGTTTTTCTATAAAATAATACGCGCGTTTAATGTTATAATATATATATTATAATTATATCATTTGTTATTTACCTTAGAGAGATAAGAATTGATCCAATTAACAAATGTCTTCTTTTGCACGCGTTCTTGTTCGTCTGTAAAAGAAAATTAACAACAATTTTTCTATTAGAAAATTATTGATTTTATGTGTGCGTGTGTGTGTGTGTGTGCTCGTGGTTAAGTTAAATCACGATAATTTTTATTGATTTTCTTTTTCTTTCTTTTTGTTACGAGAAAGAAAAGAAAAGAAAAGAAAAGAAAAATACAAAAATACAATTTCGTTTAAGTGATTACGTCATATTACTGACGGAACGAGTTACGATAGACGCTTTTATTTTTAAATATGCCGTCATGTTTTGTCACCTTCGCATTGGGTTGCTCACGCCAATGTACTTAAAACATACATATACACATTTATTCTTAACAAAAAAAGAAAAAATATTCCTAATAAATAAATTAACACGTTCACGTGTAGCAGACACGTTTCTGTTTTTTTGTTTTCTTGTTTCAATAACTATAAAATTATAATTTAAAATCTGTTTACTTATTTTCCAACGTTATTCTACGCGTTTCTAATTAAAGATACAATAAATTATCTCTATTCGTTTCTCGCAAAGAAATGTTGTAAGCAATGAAAAGAAAAAAAAAATATAGAAAGAACATTAATCGGTTAGATAATAATAATAATAGCACGATGATTTCATTGCGATTTATATATTTAGTATTGAAAATCTTAATATCTCGATAAAAACGTAATTCGCATTGCACAAACAATCGCATGAAATGTAACATTTAAAACCGAGAAAAGAATTATGATTTTTATATTTTGTGCATAGATTTGTAAACAAAATTAATCATAGTAACATACTTATACATGACATATATTTACCGATAACGCGCAAATAGTTTTTATTTTGTAGTTATTTTTAAAATATATGCGCTTATTATAATGCACACAATAACACGATACACCATTTATATGCACGATATTTTTCTTAACGTTATTATTATTATTATTATTATTATTATAAAGTATATTTTAAAACGTTAACAAAAAAAAAGAATTATTATTTAATTAAATATTAATTGGTACATTGACATGGTATAATAAAAATAATAAATAGACTACTATAATATATTATATATATATATATATATATATATATATATATATCATGAGTTTCCCCATAGAATTCTATAAATAAAAATGATGTAATAATAGATCATCACTTTTCACATACAATGTTTATATTTCATTTTTATTTTTATCTTTTATTTTTATTTTTTATCTTTTATTATGTTACGTCACTATGTTATACGTAATGGAATCTTTAAAAACGGAAATTACAATTTATCATTATCGATTTCTTTTTTTTTATTTATAGTTATTCCCGACCCCCTCATTCATTATTAATCGATATTATTCGGGCCATTGATAAACTTAGTCACGAATATTCGTGTAAATTGTCATTGAGGAAATTGCAGATCTAAGTTTCTTGGGAAAATTCAATAAATCACAAACGGGTCTGTAACCTTTTAGTTTCTAATCATTGATAGTCACGCATAGAGAAATACACACATGATATATATATATTTATATAACGTATTAGAAAAACGAGCGTAATTTTTTCAAATGAAATGTGTTAACTAAGAACGATCAATAGGTTTCAATTCTTTAGTATAATATTTTCTTCTATGCAATTATTATCTCAATATAGTGTCTTTTATGAATACTTATTAATCGTACTCAATGATTGCACTCTTTAACCATAATGATTTTCAATTCTAAAAGCATAAATTTTCTAATGGAACGTCACATTTCATAACATTTAGTATTATTTCGGTTGTTAAATAAAATAAAACAAAACAAATCGATGAACCTGTTAATGGACGCTAATAATATACGGACAATAATAATAATAATAATAATAATAAAAATATTAACAGTTTATATTGGTGTTGAAACTGCATAATTGATTGATTGTTTTTGTACAAATTTACTTTGGAAATATGAATATATTTAAAAAACTGCACGAACCCCTTTTCTTCACTCTAATAATCATAATAATAATAATAATTAGACGTGATTAAAGTAAATAAAAAAAGAAACACACAGAGAAAAATATCGAGAACAATTTAACCACGTTTTATTGTTCTTGTGGCCAATTATTTTCTAACCACGAGTCAGGCTCGTGTTTATTGTTTATGGGCCCCAATTTCTAACCACGAGTTCGACTCGTTGTTGTAGAATAAAGGAAGGACGGACAAGGGGAGGAAGGAATTATGATCGATATCGTGTCACTTTTATACCTTGTACTTTTGAACATTGTATTATTTGTTTGTTAGAGAAAATGCAAGCAAGTTACAAACTCTCGATCGATTTAATTTTAGATCATTTAGGATATTCGTGATTTTAAGCTCGCGTGACGATACTGAATAGAACAGGATATTCGTGCTCTTGTGCTACTACACTCGAACAGTACCGAAAAAAAGAAAAAAAAAAGAATTACGTGGAGGCCGCAGAATGTTTCGAGAATAGGAAAGAGGGAAAGCATGTAACGTTGAAATTATTCTACCTTAACGTACCTATTCCTAATTTCTGTGGCTATGAACAAATCGGAAATAATTAACAGGGAAACGTCGTGGTAAAACTTTGTTGACATGTCGCATGAGTACCTTAATATTTTTGCTTCCTTTTTTGTTAGAAATAAAAATTCGAGACACTTGAATTTCTTTATTAACGTGTACCAATATATATTATATTATCTTATATATAAATTATCTATTTAATTATTTTATATATTTAAATAAAGGTTAAGAGTTAGTTTTGATATGTTGCATGAGTGGCTTAACATTTTTGCTTTTTTGTTAGAAACAAAAATTCGAGACACTTTAATTTCTTTATTAACGTGTACCAATATATATTATATTATCTCATATATAAATTATCTATTTAATTATTTTATATATTTAAATAAAGGTTAAGAGTTAGTTTTGATATGTCGCATGAGTGGCTTAACATTTTTGCTTTTTTGTTATAAACAAAAATTCGGGACTTTAATTTCTTTATTAACGTGTACCTGTATATATTATCATATAAATTTTTAATAATTATATAATTATATAAAAGATATTAATTATTTTAATATATAAAATAATTAAATAGATTTTGAAATAAGGTAAAGTTAATTTTAACGATTATTCTATGAATCGATATAGAAAATATGAACTTTGAAACCATTTAGATTTCTTCGAATCAATTATTAATTTTATAAGTATTCTATACTTCGATTATTTCACAATTTGAATTCATGTATGGTTGACCTAAAAAAACAGATATCAGCGAATTCTAAAGATATTCTTTAACCGATCTCTCAACTTTCTTCTCTCTCGATTACTATATGACAATGATAATAAAAAAAAATAAATTGCAAAATAATTTAACTAAAATACATAATCGATAAGTAATAATACACAAATCATACCACAGATTTATATTTCAATTAACCACCTATCATCAATCTATCTTTGAATCATTATGATTATTAAATCGTATTATAGTTAATCTGATATTATTCGGCAATTGCATACGATAATTGACATTTTACAAACCGCAAAACAAGATCGCATGTTATGCGTGAGTATACTGTTAAGGGATTCACATGTATGTTTACTAACGAACTGCAGAAACTGCGGTGCATGCAAATGCACCGAGAGTATACCGGTTTCATGTGGAACGACATTTACGAATATATATATATATATATATATATATATATATGTAGACAAAAATATAAATATACAATCATT